TTCAAGATCCCCATGACCTGGCCCCTGGCTACTTCTTTACCCTAATTCATGTACTCTTGCCCTTGATCACTGTGTCATAGACACACAGGTCTCCTTTCAATGTCTAACACATGCCACACCGTTTCCTGCCCCAGGGCCTTTAACTATGCTATTCCCTCTGCTTGGAAGGCTCTGTACTCCCCCATAAAGCCCTGTTATTTCTCATCAAATCTTATCAAAATTTTATATTTATTTATTCCATTATGTATATGATGTTTGCATCCTAAGACTATAAGTAGCATGAGGGCAGGCACTATGTCTACTACCTTAATTGTCTCCCATTTAGGAAAGAGACCTGGTAAGCAAACAGGACTCTACGCCCACAAAGAAAATTTGTACTGGCTTCAGAAATTAATAAACTTACTCTTTCATTCAAAAAATATGAGTGGACTTCCAAGGATCACTAGATATTCGAGACAAATCAGCATGACAAAAGAATCTAGATGAGGGGGTCAGCCCAGTGGCATAACGGTTAATTTCACGCACTCTGCTTCAGTAACCCGGGGTTCACAGGTTCGGATCCCAGGTGCGGACCTACGCACCGCTTATCAAGCCATGCTATGGCGGAGTCCCATATAAAGTAGAGGAAGACAGGCATGGATGTTAGCCCAGGGCCAATCTTCCTCAGCAAAAAGAGGAGGATTGGCAACAGTTAGCTCAGGGCTAATCTTCCTCCCCCCAAAAAAGAATCTAGATGAATAAATAATACACTGACCCCAGAGAAAGCAAAATAGAAGAGAATTTTTAGAATAATTCTAATAAGTGTCCTCAGAGAGATTCAGGAAGATATTATATCCATAAATCTGAAACAGTGGCTATAAAAATAAAACATTCCGAGAGCAAGACAGAGTTTTTGGAAATTAAAGACATAATTGCTAAAGAGGAAAGGTCAGTGGAGCAATTGGAAGACAAATTCAAAGAAATCCTCCAGATCATAAATTAAAAAAAGACAAAGAGATGGAAAATATCAGAGAAAAGTTAAGAGACTTAGAAGATCAATCCAGTAAGTGGACCATCCATTTAATAAGCATTCCAGAAAATGAGTACAGAGAAAATGGAACGGAGAAAATAATAAAGGAATGAAAGAAAAGAAGACAAATGCCTGGAGCTTACAAAAAATACAAACTAGGTCCACTACCCAAATATATCCTAGCTAAAGTGTAGAAATGCCAAGGATAAAAATGATCCTAAACATTTAGGAAAATATATAACTGGTTACCTATAAAGCAACACATATCCAATTGTCATCACTAAAACTGTATGCTAGAGGTCAAAGCAGAGAGGAAAAATTATCTTAAACCTACAATTCTAGCCAAACCAATCAAGGGAGTAGGAGTAGGGGAGATTTTGAGACACACAAAGACCCAGACAGTTGACCTCCTATGCACCCTTCTGTAACGATCATTTGAAACTATACTCCGGCCAAATGAAACAGAAATCTAAGAGAGAGGAGAACATGGGACCCAGAAAGAGTGGAAATAACCCGGAAGTGAAATGAACTGAAGTCCTAGAATGACAGTTCTCTAGAGGGCCTAGAAAATAACCAAGCACAATAGAAAAAGAGGACAGAGCTCTTTGAGAAGAATATCTTCAAGAGTCAAGGACCCTCCCTCAACACTCATGGCTCTGAAAGTAGTAACTATCAATACTTAATAGAGTAAAAGCTCACAGAATCATTGACATTTAGGGAAGATAAACAAACAAACAAACACATAGATACAGACAACAAATTGGTGGTTACCGGTAGGAGGAGAGGGGGTGGGGAAAGGCAAAAGGGGTAAAGGAGCACATGTGTTTGGTGACGAATGGCAACTAGACTTTTGGTGTTGAAGGCGAAATATAAGGACGTACACTGAAATTTATACAATGTTATAAATCAATGTTACCTCAATAATTAAAACCAAAAGAATCATTGACATTTATTGTGGAAAAGGAGCTGAGAATTTCTTTAGTAGAAACAATATAACGTAGCTGAGGAGAGTGTGGATTTTGGAGTCAGGCCACCTGGGTTCAAGTCTTGGCTCTGCTACTCACCACCTTGAGCAAATTACTTAGTCTTGCCAAATCTCAGCTCCTTGTGTCTGAAATTGCAACGATGATTGGACCTAGCTCATGAGGTTATTTTGGACATGGACTAAGGTAATGTGTATAAAGCATTTAGAATGCTGTGCTTAGCACTCAGTACATGCTCAATCAATGGTGGCCATCATTGTTTTATGGAGGAAAATTCTGAGGCACAGAGCAAATAAGTTGTTTGTGCAAATGAGAACATGAACCTGGATCTGATTCTTTCTCCAAAAGGCCACGTGGAATTTCATGGTTTTTCTGTGATTCGGGAAACCTAGAACAACTTTGGCTGGGTTCCTGGATGTTCTCACCTATCATTGGGAGTGTTCATAACTTCCACTTTCAGTTACGTTTCAGGTCCAGTTCAACGCTGAAAAATTTTTAAATTAAATTTTTTAAAAAATGTTAAAGAAATTTCCTGTAACAAGTAATTGGCATTAAAAGCTGGATGATCTTATTGATAAGGTAAAAGAATAGCATGGTTTTGTGAACAAGAAGGAAGAAAAGTAGTTAGGAATATCAGGAAAAATAAAATTAGCAAAGAGCTGTATAAGAAAGTCACAGTCCAAATATACAAAAATGAAGATGTATCACAATTCTGAGCACAGACAGAATGTATGAAAACAAAATTCATCTGACATTGATTCTGGGAGCATTCTCCTTTGAATGGAGAAGTTTTAACAACACAGTGTTAAAAAGATAAACTGAGGCGCATTAAATTTTTGAAGAGTTTATTTGAGCCAACATTGGTTCCAATCCTGCAGGGCCAAACCAAAAGTGGTTAGAGGCTCCTAATGAACAGGAATTAGGGGGCAGGCTTTTATAGAGCAGACACGGAAGCAAAGCAAGCACACGATTTGATGTGCTAAAGCTTAAAAGATTGCCTTATTTGGGAAAGCCCAGTTGTCTGTTGTGATTGATTGTTCTTAAATTTCATTTTCTTAGATGCAAGTGCATTTACAGGAGTTGACTCTGGCCTAGGTTTCGGTTTGCTTACATAAGGCTACCAAGGCATTAGAGCCACCTCAGTCTAATGGCCTTCTGTTTAATTACTTCAACAATAGAATTGCATATTTTCTATGTGTCTAATCACACTACTTGGTTCTGAAGAGAATAATAATTCCATAATCATCAAGTAAATACTCATTGGTTTTCAATCTATGAAGTCAACATATAAACAAAATGCAGAGGACCTAATGGTAGTTACAGAACAGAATGTAAATATTTTAAACCAGCAATGTAAAGTGATAGAACAGCTCACAGAAGTTAGAACATGGAGTGCAGGTTTTTTACAGATTTACAAAATTCCTTATTTTACAGTACAGAATCAGGAAGTGCTGTCTGAAGTTGAGATATTGAGGAATATGATCTTTTTTTGTTTTGCCAGGGAAGATTCGCCCTAAGCTAACATCTGTTGCCAATCTTCCTCCTTTTTTTTTTTCTTCCTTTTTCCCCCCCAAAGCCCCAGTATATAGTTGTATATAGCTGTAAGTTCTTCTGGTTCTTCTATGTGAGCCACTGCCACAGCATGGCTACTGACAGGCGAGTGGTGTGGTTCCGTGCCCGAGAACCAAACCCAGGCTGCCAAAGCAGAGCACGCCAAACTTAACTGCTAGGCCAACAGGGCTGGCTCTAGGAATATGATCTTTTAAAAATACAAGTTGAAATATATTTTTCAAAATTATGTACGTAAAGAACAACAAAAGAGCAAAATTAGGAGGAGGGAAACAGTTATTGCAAATGAGTTATATCCTCCCTCTTTTACAGTGAGAAATCAATAAACACTATTTAAAGTTGAAAAACTGGGAAAAGACATTTAGATCAGTATTTAGATGATTAAAGTTGGGAAATAAACACCATAAGAACTAGGAATCAGAAATAATTAAACGCAAGCATAAGAGAGGGAGGGGGAAGGAACATTCTTACTTTTCATTTTCTATTGTTCCATATTGCTTGAGTATTTATTACTCTGTGCATATATTACTTTAATTAATTAGCGAGTGAAGAAACATGCAAAATTAAATAAATAGAACTTCTGGGCTAAGAGAGTCAACTGCAGAGCTCTGAGAGGAGGCGCGTTTGAACAGAGTAGTCTTAGGAGTAAGGACCCACCTCTGGAAGGGCTCTGGAGTTCTTCCAATGTGAGCGCCCCTCCAGGTGGGCCCTTCTTACATCTGAAATACATACAAACATCCTGCAAACCTGAGACGGATGGCTGACGTTACAGGAAAATAAGGCCTACAGATTTTGTTGGCCACAGCTAAGGAGGAACCAATTATTGAAAGTGGTTTTAAGCTAGAGACTAAAGCAATGGTGGGCTGGGTCAAAATTGTGGACTCTGGAACAAACGGCCTTATCTGGACTGTCAGTGACTAGCTGTGTGACTTCAAGCAAGTGATGACAATAATTATACCCATTCTCTAGGGTTTTGTGTGGCTGCCATAAGCTCATTTCTGCGAAGATGAGTGTTAGCTGTTAGTATTATAAAGAGATGCAGATTCCAGCTTAAGGGAAAGCAGTGTCAATAAGGAACACATTGGAGATTCCGCTGGGTGATGATCCCCTGTAGCTTTTTCCTTCTTTGACTATTAGAAGGACAACTTGATTGTAGCCTGGGGAAGAGAATGCCAGTTTGGGGAACAACAAACTATTAACATAATACTATTAATAAAAGCTAACATTTATTGTGTTAAAAGCTAACATTTACCACATGCCAGGAACTGTGCAAAGCACTCTACACACATCATCTTAGTCCATCTTCATTCACACTCAGGTGAGATAGACTTCATTATCTGCTTTTTTTTAATTGTGGTAAAATACACATAAAATTTACCACCTTAACCATTTTTAACTGTACAGTCCAGTAGTGTTAAGTACTGTTAAAAATAAGGCAACAGGCACAAAATGGAGTCGCTTATGCTAAGGCCCCTGTCACCAAACCCAGACTTCATTACAGTTTCGGCTCTCCCAGAAATGGAATCTTAAACTAGCCAATCAGGAATCTCCTGACCAGCATTAGTTAGGTAATCGGTCTTGTAAACCCCTACATCCCCTACAGGGAAAGTAACCTTGCAACAACCACTCTGCTTTTTCCCTACTATGGCTTCCTTGTTCCTGCTCCCTTCTCCCTATAAAAGTCTTTCATCCTGTACAGCTCCTCACAGCTCCTTTCTATCTGCTAGACTGGATGCTGCCTGACTCATGAATCACTGAATAAGCCAATAAGATCTTTAAAATTTGCTCAGCTGAATTTTGTTTTTTAACAGTACATTCTCATCGTTGTGCAACCGATTGCCAGAACTCTTTTCATCTTGCCAAACTGAAACTCTATACCCATTAAACAGCAACTCCTTTATTATCTCCATTTTGCAGAAGAGGAAACTCAGAGGAATTATTATGACAAACCATGTGAAAATTCTGTTATTCAATCATTTTTTACCTATGAACAAATGGCATTTTGGAATAATTCCACTGAAGAGGTCAGTAGCCCAAGCCAGTTAGGAGAAGAGCCAGGTTTCCAGCCTGCCTGCGAAGTGTTCCATGGTGATGAGCACTTCCCTGCAGGGACAACCGAGGAGGGTACCCAGGACGATGAACTAAGTCACACTGGAGAGGAGAAGATGCAAGAAACACACAGAAAGTGACTTGGGCTTTTCATGTCATAAGAAAGAGGCATTAAAGCCATTCTAAATTATTCTAAGACAGAGCTACACGGGTGAATCCAGGTTGCAGGACCCAATGCTGGTTCAACTTGGGGATCACAATTTTTTAAAAAATTAAAATGTACATAGTATTTTCCATTTCTTCTCTTCTTCAGACTCTTCTCTTCATATGACTTTATAGACCCTTAGTCATCATGGGTGCTCTCCTCAGAAACTGTCAAGCTGTAGTCAGCCTTGCAAGTGGATTTTTGTGAGCATGAAATGCATGGGGAGGCAAAGAGTGAAGGGACTAGAAGCTGCACAGCTGTCAGAATTATGGGGAACATGCACGCATTGCCCTGAGGGAGACACTGAGGCAAAGTCGCTGCATCCGTGGCCTCTGTCCTCCCACAGCTGAGGCAACGGCCTCGATAGGAAGCCTATTGTTTTACTATCCCACCATGAGCACCTCCCTTGGAACGTCGGTGTGGGGTGAAAGGTCCCTTTACCCATCAGTGTGCTCACTACTCGAACCCCCTCCTCACCTGCCTGGCCTCATATTCTCTATGCCCTCCTTCTTCTCTCATCACCTTTCAATACATCTCTGCTCCCTGAACACTTCAGCACAGACTCAGGCTTCCTCTCCTTATTACTTTCAGAAAATTCTGTAGGTGGAAAGAAATTTAATCGGTAATAATAAGGCTTTCTATTTTTAGAGCTTCTGCCTTCTGAGCAAACCGAAGAATGCCACAGCTATAACAGAATCGGTTAAAGGGTTGAAAGAGTCTTCCAGAGGTCTTCTGGGAAAGTCCCCCACCCTGAGGCAAAACTTTCCTGAAACCTGCCTTGGACAGGCACTGGCCTCCCCTAATCTGACCCTAGAGTCAAACTCAGCTCCAGCTCTGATACCTCAACCTCCAGAACCTCTCCCCACCCCCAGCCAGAACCCTGCTTTCCATCCCCTACCCTAGTTCCTTTCTCCCTGGAATGGTTGCAACAGACTCCTAATGTTCTCCCAGCCCTTAAGTCTCTCATCCAACCAACCTCCATGCCACCAATACAGTGATCTTTCTAAAACATAGATCTGATCATACTTGGAATGCAAGGTTAGATGTGCAAAGTGTTATGGGAACACAGTGGGGAAGGGGGTTAGGGCAAGTGTCACAAATTGGAACTCAGAAGATCATAGGAGGTCACCAAAAAGAGTGGGGGAAGGAGATGTGTCAGGCAAAGGGCACAGCCAATGCAAAGGTTTGGAGACATTAATGCATGGATGTTTGAGGCAAGATAAGTCACGCAGAGTGGCGTGAGTGGGGAAGGAAGCAGAGAGGAGTTATCAGAGGAGAGGGTGGAAAGGTGGTTTGGGGCCATATTGGGAGTTAGGACTTTTTCCTGACGGCAATGGGGTCGTTGGGTGGTGGGACTCGCAATGGAGGTCTTGGGCAGAGTTAAGTTGAAAGGCCCTGATTCCAAGAAGAGAAGAGACATGTATCAGAGAGGATGGTGCTCAAGGAAAGTGCAATGCATGTTGCCATCTCACCCATTACCAGGGCTCCAAATTCCCTAAACTGTCTACCCCACACCCACACACACACCCACACCTCCCCCTCCAACACACACACACCTGCACACATCTTCCCTTCTGGAGTGTAAATAATCCTAGTTACCTGTTACAGTTTATAAGCCCCTGGATAGTATAGAGGGTTTCAGATTTGGAGTCAAAGCCTTGGTTTCAAATCTACACATATGTGTTTGACCTCAACACTGTGACTCAGTTTTTTCAGTGCTAAAATGCAACAGAAATACCTCCTTCCCAGAGTGGTTGAGAATATCAGAGGAAATAACGTATGTGAAATCCTTAGGGCACTAGACTGCGCTCGTAAATGCAATTTTAACACAAATTTTCTTGTTTTCTTTGGGATCCTCTCCATATTCATCCAGAGCATCCAGGAGTTCTGTGTCTCCACACTTTCAGGGAGAGGAGTGTAGGCTCCAGCCAACAGCACTTCTGGTTCCTCTCCAGTGCGGCTTTCCTTGGATTCTCCAGCCCGAGTCAGATGAAGCTGACACAGAATGGGTTATTGGGGATGGTCAGGGTGTGTATGTGTGTGTGTATGTACACAGGTGCATCTGTGCATGTCAGTTCTGCTCATGGTAAAGGGGGAGAGAGGGAGGGATCAAAAAGGCAAATGAACACAAAGAAGAAGTGAAGCAAAATCTAGCTGTGCAGGAAAGCGTTAAAGTAGATGAAAGGCTGGAGGCCTGAGGGGAGGGGATCAGGGTCCAGCTTGCTCAGTCCTTCGTTGACTGCCTGGGTGGGCGCACACGGAGAGTAGAGAAGATGACAGAATGCCCACACGCTGCCAGTGGCCTCTCCCATTCAGGCCACTCAGGCCCGGATGGAGTCCTTCCCTCAGTGCACTACCTCCAAGCTGGAAAAACTCTCCAGGGCAAGGGGAGTTGAGCAGAAGGGGGGTAACTCCACCAGCTTTCGGGGATCCGCCAACAGTTTCCAGTGCTTCTTCTGAAGACAGGCTCTCTAACCACATGCTTTTCCATGACATCACCATCAGTGACCTTTGGGGGCCAGCAGGGTGGAGTCCAAGGGGACGGGTACAGGCCACAATTCTTTGGTGGTCACAAAGGTTGGGATTGTGAGCTGCCCAGAGCTAGAGAGCAGCTTCAATGGGGACAATGTCCCTTGCTGGACTGGGAATGGCTTCCCTGCCCTAGGATATTGCAGGACTATAGTGGACCTGTTGTCTTTGCTCCTTTTCTATATTAAAAAGCATATTGTTCAGCACAGAGCCCGTGTGTGTGTGTGTGTGTGTGAGTGTGTGCGTTTGCGCACACGCACAGAAGTGTAAAGAGTCTCAGAAAATTGCATTTTGCTTTTAGAACAAATGATGATGATGTGGAGTGGAAAACTTGCAGCCCAGCCAGCAGAGAGAAGTGTGTTTTTGCTTTTCAGAAGCCTTGGGAAGGAGAGGAGGGAGGGAAGGAGGAAGGGAAGACTTCCGCTGATGTTTCAAGAACACCAAAGAGTGCTGGCAGAGATCAATATGCCCAATGAGTCCAAAGCTGATTGTAGCAAACACAGCCAGCTGCCCTGTGTTCACTTAAAGTAATAGCCTCAAACACTTGACAGAAATAACTCAATTACCTTATTGATTTTGGATTTCAGCCACTTCCCCCAACATACAATACACACGAACACTACCACAGACCTATACATATTAAATTTTTTTTGGTTTTGCTTCTTTTTAAAAACTAACATAATTGGCATGACCTGTTCCACTAGCTCGGAAAATAAATAAAGTTGTATCTGTTTTTTTATATGCACATCAATCACTTGGGTCCCCACCAGCCCAAATTGAAGGATAGCCAGTAGAACCTCTCTGGGGACCTCCTCCCTCCAAAACTGAAGAGCCCCAGGTGCTCACTGAGCCCCAACTGGTTAGTGTAAAGAAATAATTGAGAAATGCAATCAGTTCTCCAGCCCCCTCCTCCTCCTCATTTCCTGCTGTTGTCACTTCTAGCCCCTGCCACATGGTGCTGCTGATGAAATCACACAGCCCCACACAGATTGATGTTTTGTGGCTGCTGAGCCAGTGCCTAGCTAACCCAGACTGTACTTAGGCAACAAGTTTTCTAAGCAAGTGCACACCTTCTTGCTCCCCCATTTACACCCACCTGCGTACCCATTGTCCCAAAGCCATGTCCTCCAAAGCAGGACTGGAGAGAGGCTTCCGATGACAGCCAGCAGCAGCTCTACCTGAAGATTTTCCCCTGGAGGCCCCGATGCTTTCTCCTGCTAACAGACCTGAGCCAAGGCCATCAAAACCATCACAAGCAACTTGTACCATTGACTCAACAGCTCAACGGGGGCTGGAAAGTACCCCAGACATCATCCACCCCACTGTCCTTGTTTTATGTATGAGGAAAATGAGGCCTAGCAAGATTAGGGGACTCTCCAGCACCACATTGCTAGCCTGGAGAACGTGGTTTTGAGGGGGTGGAGGTGTGGTCTGGGTTTAACACCTGGAAGGCCTCAGAAGGCAGATAAAGGTGGTCCTTTGGTTACCTGTCTTCATGCGCCAGCAAAGCCACACCTATGCCAATGCCTGGCCAGCCCAGCGTTGTCCATGTCCAAGTCCATAGAGAAGTCCCTATGTGCTTCTTCCCACATCCCGGGAAACCCCTTAGTTCTGGGAAGACTGGAAAAGTTGGCCATCCTAGACTCTGCTCTAGTTATTAGCCTTTCTTTATCCTGTGTTCCAGTATTTTCAAACTCTCCTTCTCAACTGGCTCCTTTCTACCAGTTCAAACCATTCTCAGATTAAAAAAAAATCTTTGATCCAACATTTCTCTCTCCACCCCCCCCACCTT